GTGCATTGAAGATGAGAGATTTTTTCAGGTATAAAAACGCCAGTCAAACAGTGATCCAGTGCAAAAACAGTCGCCACCTCTTAATTTTGCAGTTGTAGTCTTTATCATTTCAAACATTTTGTTTTACTTGTAGGTAAGTTTTTCTGTTGTCATTTTTAAAACTGCGTTAGTTTTCTTTTACTGTTTGCTTTTTTTCAATCTGACACAATGAGGCAAAACTGCTTCACTTTGCATCTTGCCAAGTGAGCAGTGTTCTCAAAGTTTTGTCTGTCTGTTTACTGAAAACAGTATAAACTAAGTTTATTTTTCAATCTATCTTTTTTGTCTAATCACTGCAATTGTTGAATTAAAAAATAAAACGTTCAACTAGTGTAACTAGTGTAACTAATCAGTGCAACCTACGCCCTTATCCAGTCTCACCAGTCACATCATGCTGAACCTCGGGATCACCTTTAGATCAACGGCCATTTTTGGCACAGTTGCAGTGTTTATCCCCATCTTATCGTCATTATCTGCGGCAGTTGCATCAACTACCTCGGCCGCTGCTCAGGGTCCAGTCAGCAGCAATCAGATCTACGAGCCGGAAGTGGCCGCCGACCAGACCACCCTCTACAAGACGGTGGCCAGCAGTGAGCCAGAGTACGCCGGAAGTCAGGAGTACAGCGGCGGCAGTGGACAGAGCTACGGTGGTGGCGGTGGAGGATACCAGAAAGACAGCTACAAGGAGGAGAAGTATCCCCACCAGCCGTACGGCTTTGGCTACAATGTCGACGGTAAAACATTTTAATCAGATCAGATCAAACTTTTTCTCTTAATATCTTTGTAATTACCATTATCACCAGACGGCTACGGGAACAAGCAGTGGCGCCACGAGAAGAGCCAAACGCCGCACGCCGTTTCCGGCACCTACGGCTACAAGGACAAGAATGGCATCCTCCGCGAGGTGAACTACGTCGCCGATGAGAAGGGCTTCCGGGCGATGATCAAGACCACCGAGCCGGGCACCGCCCCCAAGGACCCCTCCTACGTGAAGATGGACGCCAACCCCATTGCCGTCGAGTACTACCCGCCCTCAAAGAAGGGCGGGGCCGGAAGCTACTCGGCCAGCTCCAAGCCGGCCAGCTACTCGGGAGAAGGTGAGCTCTATGCCGATAGTGGTAATGCTGGTGGTGGTAGTGGTGCATCCGCTGGGGCTAGTGGATACTCTGTTAGCGGTGGTAACGGTGGTGATCAGTACCTCGAGTCAAAGAGCAGCATCAAGTTCGCTGATGACAGCAACGGCGGCTCGGCCGGATACGCTGGTAAGAGGGGGGCATAAAAGTGGGGACTGCTGCAAACATGGCTTATTTTACTACGTTTAAAAGTAATCAATTAATTAATCAATTAATCAAACTTTTCTGCTCTGATCATTTCAGGAAACAGCGCCTCAAAGATTACCATGGCCAAGTACCAGGACAAAAAGTAGTAGTGATGGTGCGGTAAAAATGGACTTGGTATTGCACGGAGAGCCAGAGATGCAAAGGAATCAAAGTCATCAACAGGACCAAAAACATACATTTAAACACCTTAACCGGAGCAGTAGCAACAACAACAGCAGTTTAGTTCAATTTGTTGATCAGCGCATTAAATGCAACCTATCAGCAACTGTAAGTTGCAAAAACCACCACAACAGTCCTCCGTCGGTTCAGTTGATGCCACAAAATCAAGTACAGCCTTTTAGCAAAACAAACAACAACATGAAGCAAAATGACCAGGAAAGCAGTTTTTTGAATGACCAACGCTCAAAGTGGTCCACTTTTGTTAATCGACACTAAAAATATGCAAATAAAAAACAAATTAAGTAAAAAACGTGTAGAAAATTGAGATTTATAAAATCTGATGTGTGTGTAAGTAATTTGTACAGTGTTTGTGTTGTGTTGTTTGTGTGTGTATATGTTTCAATGATTGTACCTGGTTGTGCCTGGTTTGTTGAAAATGAAATGATTTCAATCAAAAAATGTTTAAGTAAAAAATGGTGATCACAAAATATTAAATTAATGTTAAAGACAAAAGTATTAAAAACTTAAAAGCAAATCATGAAAAAAACTTATGTTTAGCAATATAAATGTTTCTGTAGTGTTTAAAATATAAACAAAATTAGTCGCATATAAAAACTCTAAATCTAAGTAAAGCAAAAGTGGCTGACATACAAAAGTAAGAAAAGTGTAGAAATTATGATCAAAAGATTACAAGATGGAAAATGCAAAATCTGAATCCAAAAAGTGCTTTAGAAGCGACAGCAGCATCGTGGAATAGGCTCAGTATTAAAAGTAAAAAATGTATGAAAAATTTTGCACTACAATGCCACAAACACGGCACACCTCAGCTCACTCAGGCGACCAAACTTGATTTCAATTGTTCTCATCACTGTCATGATCCGATGTACATTTCTCCCCTTTTTTTGTTTAAAAAAGACCAATCTCTCTCAGATTGCCCTTGAGGATGACATCAGAGACGGCGTCAAAGACAAACTCGATGTTGTTGGTGTCAGTGGCGCAGGTAAAATGCGTGTAGATCTCCTTGTTCTTTGAACGATTGACCGTTTCAAACTGCAGCCGAACAAAGGCGGCCGCCTCTTCATAGGTGTTTGCGCCTGAAAAG